GTTTGCTACCGTGCTAATGGCTCTGGTGTAGCCGTGACCTTTAGCCATCTTTCTTATTTTTGGATTAACTGGCGGTGAATGCGCCACGACGTGGGATCACAGCCGCGAGAGGCGGTGAAGAGCTTTTCTTTTCTTCAAATGAAAACGAATAAACACGTTGAGAAATATTTGGCCCTTCGGTGACCTTTGATCTGCATGTGGGCTGCAGTAAAACATGCAAATAACACAACGCAGGCAGAGGAGGAGGAAGACAACTCTTCTTGACCTCCTCTTGTAATAATATGAAAAAAGGATTTTATTAAGTATAAAGTGGATCTCCCTTGCACATTTGAGATGTGTGGTCACTATGCCAACGCAGCAGACGCATGTGTGTATGGATGCCGGTCTGCCTGTTGGTCCGTCTCTGCCACGCTGCTGCTCCTCCTCCTGCTGCTGCTGCCGCCGCCCGGCCGCCCCCGACGTGAGAGGAAATCAGACGGAAGCAAAGTAAAAAAATAAAAATAAATCAGAGCATCATTTAAATATTAATGAAGCCGAGAGATGAACTGTTGGCCTGAGAGTCGTCATCTTCTCCAGCAAATGGTTTTGGCTAAATGGAAAACCAATGCATACACCCGTGGGTGCAAATACACACACACCCACAGCTTACGCCCCACTGAGTTGGACTGAGTGAACCAACTGTCCCTCTTAACGTATCCAAGTCGAACTGTTTAAGGTGGTTTCATCTGATCAGCAAGCCAGACAGTATAATCGGCAGACATCCTTCAAGTTCCATCAATTCAAAGTGCGTTTTAACAGGATTAACAAGGCAGTTTACCAACGGTTTTCCAGGAAAGTGCACTATTGTGGTATTACAGGCCTTTTTGAACCAAAGAGCCCACTGGGCAGCACCACGAACACCGGATCTCCAGATACCAGAAGGTTACCAATGCAGGTCAGGGTCAGTTAATAAAAACTGAAAAAAATACAACCCTGCTTTTATTATTCCAAAACCTCAACTCCGGATATGATGGGTATTAACTGCAGAGATCCGCCTTAAATTACAGAAAGAAGCTGGATTGTTCATCATAAATACTGATATTGTGGGAAAGGAGCAATAGAAAAATGCATTGGAGTGAAGCACGTTGGCTCATGACAAATAGTATCTACATCTGAAGGATGATGCAATATAATCAAACCACCTGCTTTTCTGTGCATGTGTGTGTCTAGCTATCAGTAGGATAAATAATGATTGGCACAATTATCCATGATTAAAGCTCTGCTCATAGAGAGCCGCCCTGTTTCCAGGCTGGCCGGATCTCAAATTGTCTTTCCAGAGACTGCTTCTAAATAGGTCAGACATGGTAACGTTTTATGGGGATCCAGAATCACAGGTTATTATCATCGGGATTCCATCTTAACAAAGTGATCCTATTGCGTTATGGTCTGTCATATGTCAAAGTGTTCAAGAGACAAAGCGCGCAATGGTTCAAACTAAACAGAGAACTGCAAATGGATGCATTCTATGATAGTGTGTGTGCTTTCTAGCTGGATAGAAGAAAATGTGAAGACAGGCAAAGACGACTATGCACACGAGATGATTCTCCCATGAAGACATAGAGAAACCTATTGAGCGTTGAGCTCTTCAGACAGATAATCAGTCTTTTGTTTCCGTGCACGCCGTTACCAGCTCTCCCCGTTACCAGCTCACCTTTCAATCAGCCCTTGGTCTCTGCACCGACGAGATGGGAAAAACACATCGGGAATTAAACTTCCCGATGCATACGAGCTGCTGATGGGAATCCATCCTGACAACTTATCACTTTCTTTTGCTACAAAGCAGCGAGTGGGCTTGAAAAACAACATGTAAGGGGGATATTAGGGAGAATCTAGTTGTCTGGTTTTGCGAGCGGGGTTATGTGGTAGCCCCAGGGCTGCATTTTTAACAATGTTTCCTTGAAAAGGTGTATTTTTTCACCCGGACGTGTATGTGAATGTGTTTTTATCTTTCATTTTTAACAGCCCCTCTCATTCTAAAAAATAACAAAGGGTCTGTTTCCTATTACCGTGATGAATGGCTTAGTTTCCCTTTGACTGCAGGTGTAGATAATTCATGGCAGTCATGCATATGGTGAGGCAGATTTCAGACCTTTAACCAATTTCAGTGGGCCCTTCACCATGCCGTGCATTTTGTTTGCTATACTATGTGACTCATGCATTACAGCGCAGTTCTGCCTATCTAACCTCATAAATATGCCAAGTTCAGACATATACTCGTATACTCCTCACAGTTGGTACATCAATATCACCTCAAACATTTCAGCCCTCTCAGATCCCTCTCTTGGGTATATTTCATCCCACATTTGTTTGAACTGTATTTCTGACCTCTGTCTTCAGCAGACCTCGAGAACCGCCTCTGTTCTCTTTGCGCTTATAGCCGGCCGTCGGAGTCTAGCTACAGTAAAACACTCATCTGGGATTAGGAGCCATTTATTCATCTCAGCTCGGTAATACTATGAGGGCCTTGCTTCAAAATCCAATGAATATTTCACACTTTCATTTCATATGCAATCTCTGCTGCTCAGAAGACTTTCTTGCTGGGTATGATAGCGTACATTTTCCTTCGCCACGTGTCTTTCTCGGCGTATTTCTGGTATTGTTTTGTGAAACTTCTTCGCATTCAAAAGGACAGTAAAAAAAAAAATAGCATCACTATTATGTGAGTGAATATCAGGCAGGAGAGCTCTGAAAATAGTTGAGAGTAAATAAATACAGCATTCACACAAACACATATTTACCATAATGCTAACGCTATCGTCGCTACAGAAACCTGCTAAGCCGGCTTTAACTCGGGATTTACTATTCAAATGATCCGGTGCTTAGCCAGGAAACTCTTCTCCCTTTTAACTCAAAGCTTCCTCTACACGTTTCCAAGTGAACAGCAGTAGAGATGCCCTCGCAGCGGCCCGAGAGCACATCGGTTACCTCAGCAGCCACTCGCAGTTTCCTTGTTATTAGAAGCCTATTAAAACCGGTACTGAAAGCCACAGAAAGGAGCGTATCGGATGAGAAGCAACCTGCCAGCAACAGGCTGAGACACTACTCAAATTTAAAAGATGTCAGGCCTGGGGGATGCTTCGTATAATGACGGACGTACTGGAGTGAATTCGCATGGTAATGCGTTCACTTATATTTGCATCTATTGGTGATTTGCATTGGATTGCGATGGGAGGGGAAGATAGATAGTTCTCAGAGACAGAAGGGAAGCAATGCTGATATCGCATGTTGGTCCCACGCTGAGTCAAATAGCTGGACCGGCTGGTAATGAATGAATAATGAATCATATTTATAAATGTATTTATATTCGGTTCCCCAAATCGCTTCAACTTAAAACTGTGCTCTGTCGCAGCATTTACTGCTTTGTCAAACACATTTGTTTTTTTACCTTTTATGTTAACTCTTGTGTCATTTAATATTAGAAATAAGAAAACGTGAGTTTAGTCTTAATGCAGTCCGGACTTTTGAGTATAGATGAGTATGATTCTCACTCAGACACGAGACCGACACGTGTTGTTATCCTCACATTAACATTACACACATACATTTGGAGCACTGCATCGGGTGACTGTCGGCACAATCTAGCGTCCGCGCCCCAGACAGTATGTTGTCTGATCCATTGCCGAAATTGAGTGGCAGAGGGCAAGTGACAACTAGCCCACCGCAGGACCACCGCGTGCTGCTCGCCACGTAACCATGGCAACAGGCTCTCATAACACCAATACCCCCTCAGCCAGTATCCTGACTCCGTTATCCGTCCCGTCATTGAGTGATATGGCCCCTGGGCCACCTCCACCACCCACACGACCAACTTTGAGACATTAGAGCCCTCTTCTATTTTTGACATATTGTAAAATCAAAAAACTTGCATCTAAAAAACAAGATTTGAAGGATAAAAATGAGTTGTTTGACGTGGAGAGCAGCCGGCGTCGTGTTTAGAGAGTGAGAGATCCCTTCGTTTCTTCCTAAAGGTTCTTACAGCCCAGAGAGAAATTGCTCACCGATGCAACTTTGCTTTTAATTAGTTCATAGAATCTCCAACAAATCCGGCGGTATTCCTACATGCTTGAAGGCATGCAGTATGAGCTGAGGACAGGGAAACACACTGCGCCTGCCTTTTTCTAGCCAGTGGGGATCTTAGCTCAGAGTTTTTTAAGCCGGGGCCTGAAATGAAAAATGCAGTCCTCCATAAGACACGGGCTCATTAAATAATGTTGATGCTGTTTTAATGTGCAGCGCCGACAAGAGAAGATTCCAGATTAATTTAAGGTCCTAAATCGTGGTTCAAAAAGCCCTTAATCTCAGCCATTTATCACTTTATAATAATGCCACGTCTGTGTGACAGTGTGGAGAAAAAAGAGGGGAAAATGAGAAATGACACATTCCTCTGGGGGAAAATAAGAAAAACGGGATATATGGATTGAGTTTGCAAAGTCTCCAAAAGTGAATTGCTAATAACACTGCCTAACGCTGAAGGCAAGTTAAAACCTTTCCCTTTGCGTTTTGCTTGTGAGGCAATATTCTCTCTAAGAGAAGCTTACAGGCCAATGCAGCTCAATACAGCACAGTGTGAACACACACACACACACATCAGGCACAGATAGCTTCTCAAACATTCACACAAGCACCTTCACCTTTGAGAGACAGAATGTTATGGGACTTATTAATAGGTATAAATCAAAAAAGATGATATGCACTATGGGAAGGATTGAGGGATGAAGATGGTTGACTTAAACACAGTGATTTTGTAGCTCTTTGTCGAGGCACTTCCTTGTGGACTGGCAGGTCTGTGTCCTCTGCATCCTCTTGGTCTGGATTTTATAAAAACTGAGCATATGCATGTTACATGACTGTTTGTGGTCACGTAAGACCCCCGAGTTCCTTCTTCACAATGTCCGTTTTCATAATAAAGGAATATAATGAGACATGAGCCAACATGAAACTTTCTCCTGAGAGGTTCTTACCTTGTCCTTGTCTTCTACCAGATCACTGAGGACGTCATCGGGGTCCAGAATCCCCCCGTCACAGTATTCAACATGGTGGGTCCGAACCAGGAAGTCTCCTTCCTAGAACGCATGGCACAACCAACTCAAATCAACCACAAACTAAAGTTGAATAGAACACTGGGGTAATATAAAAAGTAATGTAAATTAATACAGATCAAATCATTTTGTCCATCAGGAAAATGTCATTCAGACCAGTATTCCATCTTATACATTTTAATCGACATGAAACAGTACGTAGTCAATATAATGAGGGCATACCCAGCGGGCGACAATCGAATACACAAAAATGGAAAATGGCTGGAGTGGTTTTATTGTTTTACATTTTGATTCAGTTTATTTTTACATTTTAATAATAATTGTCATAGATTTAGTTCAACCTGGACCAAAGCAGTGCTCACAGCACCTCCTCTCTGCACTCATACGGGTTGACCTCTCGTCTCCTTCCATCCTCCACCTCTCTCCCCCCCGGTGCCTTGTGCACATTACAGTCGGGGCCCCTCCTCTCTCCCTCTTCTCTCCCTCCTCTCTCCCTCTCTCCGCCGTGTTGGCTCTGTGATTAATGACATCGACACTGCGCCGGACAGGTGACTACATAGAGCCGGTCGTTGAACAACATATTGAGACAACACACACGCACACACACACAGACATACAGCCTAAGGAAAGGTGTGACTCAAACCCTTACAGGGCGCCGCTCCATTAAATCACCGCTTCGGGGTCAGGTGTTTGTCAAGGAGGAGCGAGACACTGCGTGTGCCAAGATGTCACCGCGAGTCTCCGTGCCGACCCTGTTTCCTCCATGGACATCGACCCTGAATCAACAGATCGCTTACATGCACTTTTTATACGACTTTGGAAATGAGTTTATTCCTACATTCATAAGGAAGAATTTATTATTTTTAAATATGCATTTTCCATGAAGGAGCCACAACAGTAGTGGAACATATAAGATTTTAAAATTGTGATTGTAGTAAGGCCTGCAGTGAAGGTGTTGCCCGACCCACCTGTTCTACTTAAATCTCCACTATTTACCAGACTTTAATTACTTCGTACGTCATCCATAAGCGCTACCAAATGTCCTGTAATGGTTTATATATTTGATCTAGAGTAAACTGACATGCATAAGACACTTAAAGAAATGGCTAAAAATGGCTGCTTGCTTCCTCATGAAAATCATTTATCGCTGGTTAAATTTAGCCTTGCTCCATAAAAACATTTCTTTTTCTATTATGTCCCGAAAAAGAAAAAAAAAGACATTTCAATGGCTTTTCCACCATCGATGTTACACAAGATTCAGTGGCTGTTTATTCTGTATGATTGCCTCTCTATTCCTCCTGATGGGATTCATTGTTTGACTCTATTGTAACACTGTCTTGGCTGACGCCCAGGCACATGTAGAGAGAGAGAGAGTGTTTACGGCCCTTTATTTTCTCTCTTGCACAGTGTTTATCTTCTTTGAGCACTAGGAATCAGGGTTTGGGTGCATATTAACTCCGGGACGAGGCATGGGAATGTTCTTTCTTATGATTACTCTGGAATATTTCAGTGCCAGAGTGTCGCGTGAAATGATTTTGTATCCGTCGGCTTTGCACACAAAGACCTGTGTTTTATTACTCCGTGGGCTTCACAATGAGTCCCAAGAGTGTGAGATTTTGTCTCCACCGGTTTAATGGGAACTACTCAATCGCCATGACAGGAAGACGCAGAACACTCACACCGTGTCTCGCATTCTCACACAACGTGAGCACAGAGGCGCACCGAGGTCCACATGTTCATTGGCTTGCTTACAGTCAAATACAAATCTCAGCTGAAACTCTATTAAGTGAACTCGCAAGCAAGGGAAAGGGCCTTAATGTCACCAAAGCCCACTCTGGTCCAAGAATCCACAACCCAAGGAGTCCTGAGGGCCCCCGAGGGCCCGCTGCTGACCCTCAGCACGGCCCACACAGCGGACTGTACATTGTGCTTTTCATTTCAGTTAATATTGGGCCTTAGAGGTGCTTGGTCCCAAAATAATGAGCACTTCATCAAACTACAGCAAACCATTTGACACGTCGTAGCGATGGAGCTCTTGAGGACCGTGGGGATCCGGGGCCTCGGGGCCTCTGGGCAGTGTGCTAGCTTAGCGAGGCTGGAAATGCAGTACAGGAAAAATGCCGTCTTTGCGATACATTTTATTTTTCTTCTATTTTATGACAAATTATTGTCCCATGAGAAATAATAAATAATCATATTAGTCATTTTCCGCTTGTATTGTGTGCCATACAATCACAAAAGCAGTGAACAAAGGGGCTGGATTTGAAACTATGACATTTAAAAAAAAAAATTCACTATTAAATCATATACGCATAAATTACAGAAGGAAAAAAGTAGTAAATGTGGTGATTTTGCTGAACAGCAGCATCCAGCAGCCTCGGGTGAACCCCCCCCCTTTGATCTGCTGTTACAGTAGGAAAGACACGCTCAGACGGCGAGGGATGCAAAAGGTAGAGCGATAAATGCTGTGAGCGCACTGATCTAATCTGACATTCAGGGGGAGTGCGTCGATATTGTGCCGCTTCAAAAACCTAGAGGGACACTCTGATCGTGTAGCGCCGCAGATAAGAGTTGTAAACAGCCGGATCTCATCTCAACATCACAGGGATTAGCACTTAATACACTGTTTTGCCTGATACTATTACAGATCATTTTTTTAGGTATTTATCTCTCAGGGCACGGTCTAGAAATTATTATTAGGTTGTGGTAAAATCCCAGCAGAGTTAACACACTATGCAGATAATCCAGTGTTGCCCCCCCCCACCTCCCTCTTTATCTTCAAAAACTGAAGGCAGCAGCTTTAAGCTAACTTCCGGCGATCATGCTGCCGCCACCCGAGGTGAGCGGCGTCCGCCCCGCACTTAAACACTGCAACGGGGCGAGTCCGTGGCAGCTCGCGGGGCGCCGCGGGGACCTCTGGTGTTGTCACAGGTTGGTTAATCAGGTCGGGTCTGGCCGTGCTATAAAGTAACATTGCTACCAGGTATCATCTAGTAAAGGCACTGATTCAGCGCTTTGTAGTGCATATTAAGTGCTTCATGTCGCACTGGTTGCTTTGACCAAAGGCCTGTGGGGCTTTCTCGTTGGATCGTTGCATTTGAATTGCAGATAATAAGCTCCGTGAACAGTAAAACTACAACTCGTGATACCTGTACGTTTTTTTTTTAAGCAAGATAATGCTGACAAATGAACACCACATTTATGACCTTTTTGAAAAGGTGAAAAAGTACAAAGCTAATCACGGTCACGTTGCTTAACATCACCTCCTCGAAGTTAAAGGATGATGACTTTTACACCTTAGAAACCAGAAACTAATTGATATAATCAATAGGTCACAGAACGACGTTTCAAAGGCTTCCTGCAGCACTCTATGATGTGTAAAAACTCACACTAAATTGTCTGATTCGATTGGTCTCCGGGGGGCCGTCTTGTGACCGGCAGAAACAAAGCGTATCTTCTGTGGAAAGCAAAGCGAGACAAAAGCTCACCAGGTTCAACGTTGCACATTTAAACTGTGGATAAGCCGATTACTCCCTCACTTCATCAGACAAAATGAGATACAGACGTCATTAGCGCCGTTGGGACTGCTCAGAACACACATACTTTTTGTTTTTTTACCACGTTGTGCAGAGCACTAATAAAGCACTTAAAAAAGCATCAACATAAGGCGCCGGGGATGATCTGCACACGGGAGCCTTCGGTCCAGTAATCTATTGATCGAACTCCAAGGAGTGGGTCGATCTCATAGAAAAAAAACCCCAATTTGAAAAATAGGCCGGGGGGGGGGGGGGGGGGGGATAGAATGGGTGGCAGGCTGGTTTGTGAGAAAGCAGCACGCGTCCCCCCCCTCCCTCCTTCCCTCCCTCTGAGGAATAATTGCCTGTGCATCTAGCAGGGGTCCAGGATGTTGTATGATTTTCATCAGCTTGTTTGGCCACGCCTCATCAGCATTCCTGGCCTGGCTAATGAAACAGCCACAGACCCGAGGAAGCCCTCGCTACACATCCATCTTACACGTGCGTGCGTACGCACACAACCGCCAGCGTACAAAAGGTCGGATATTTCACTTTGTGGCCTTCTTTGAACCACGCACACACCGTCAGCAGCAACACTGTGTCAAATGCAGACAGCACCCAATATGCATTCATGAACATGTATGGAATATTTATTTTAGAGCGACCCATCGTATGTCACCTCACCGGAATACACACACACACACACACACACGTGTCGATGTGATCCAGAAATGGGGCGATTCAATCTGAAACCACACAGACACGCTCCCGTGACCACACAGTCGCACACTGGTCTGTTTGGCCAGAGGTAATTAAGAAGTCTGTCAACAAGCTGATGACTTCCTGACAACTCCCCTCGAAAAAAACAACACAACCTCTGCTCTCCTTCCTTCCTCGTCCTTCCTCCGTCATCGGACAACCCCCCCTCCCCCGGCTATCTCCTGCTTTCATTTTACGTTTGTCATCTCTGTTCTGATTTCATCCAAAGGTTTACTCATTTCCTGGGTTCTACCTCTCTACAAGAGCCTGGCGTAACCACCGCTTCATTTGCTTTTTTTCCTTTAATGCAACTTTCATTCCCTTTCTCTCATACCACAATTTAGGCTTTGTTATTCAGGCTCATCCATCAAGGGTGAAAGCTCCATATTATAGCTGTCAGCAAGCTGATTTTCCTTCTTGGTCTTGTAACTAATGATTACAGATCACGGTGCACTTAGCTGGCCGATGTACTGACATAGGTGAATTAAAATTAACCAAGTAATGACTCACTTGCTGAGCGACGGGCTGGAGACTGACTGACGCGTTGGAGGCCAACATATAATATATAACAAGGCTATTTGTGATCCTCTCACTCCAACTCCATTTCTTTCTGCAGCTTAGCGCATAGCTTCTCTGCCAGCTGACTTACGTTTGAACAATTCCGACCAGGCCGCTATAATGTTGTAATGAACAAAGAGCGAATGCTTAATAAATAAATTCACTGTGTGTGCATTATGTTACAATTAGAACACATATCTGGATGGGACTATGACTGAGATATGTCAAATAAAAATATGTTAATAGCAATACAATGAGGGTGTATTCCTTGAGCTTTACTTTGTTCTTCTCTACTAAACTATGCCTTTACAGCTTCGCAACAGTCAATGTTCAAATAACAGCTGAATCCACCTCAAGGTTGTAAACAGTGTGTATTTTCAAGATTCTTTTCATGGTGAATAACTTATTTCCCCAAATAGCTTTTGGAAATGAAGTGGTACTTTTATGAAATATTTACAGATCTGTCAATTAACTCAACAAATCAATTAGTCATCAAAGTTGCATGATGTTAGTCGGCCAGTGCAGAGTCCACAGAGAAAAGGACACTTTCCAATGACACAAAGGATTGTTTACCGCACATACAAACACAACAGCGGCTCGCTTTCGTTGCCTTTCACTTTCGGGGAAACAGTTTCTAATAATTACGGAGATGAATAAAACCCAATGCAAGCAACCCAGAAAACAAACCCTCTCTGAAAGTAACCTTAAGAACCTCAAGAATCCCCTCAGTAAAAGCCACTTTGATGCCTGTTCCAAGAGTCCTCTGTGGGAGCTGCTCACAAAGCAGCTGATAACTGCCAGTGTCAGTTAGCTGCAGTGGAACACACGAGATTAAAGAAAATGGTTTTAATACCGGCACAGCATACTTTCTGAGTGGCGTGAAGCCGATAGCGTGGGGGAGGGGGGAGTCAGAAGGAGAGCTCTGTGACAATTTGAAAACACGATTTCTTTCTGAGCACTGGGAGGGAGGATTAGGCACCGGACTTTCTCTACAACACACACATATCCTGGTTTTTCTAATCCTGGTACACATTAAAAGCCATAATTACACCGCTACAACAGATTAGTGCTGCGGGGGGGGGGGACAAATATCCAACAGGGGGATGAGGAGGAGGCCAAAACTATGAAGAAGTGGGATTGATGAGGGCTGTGGGAGGGGTGAAATCAGAAATCACAACGGTGGATGTAAACAAGAGTAAATGAGAGAGAGAGAGAGAACAGAGAGAGGACGGTGTCCATGGACTCACAAGGCATTCCATTCTCTCACACACAGGAAGCAAATAACAAGCCAAGCAGTGAGCGCTGGTCGATGGAGCGGGGAGGTGCATCGTCACACACACCTGCAGCACTCATCTGGCCTCTCTGGGAACATTAGCACATAGAGCGTCGCTGCTTCTGTGTCAGACCTTGAATGGGCATAAACTGATCTCCTACATGCAGAGTGTTTTTTTTGGTTTTTGAGTCAAACTGAATTAAAATGAGATTATTTGTCAGGCAGTCACACATTTAAAAATCATAAATGACTGTTACTGCAGCAGAATGAATTCTCCTTTCACACCAATAATGGCGGTACGGGTAATTTAAGTGCTGTGTGGGCACAGACTAAAAGTAGTTCATAACAACACTTAAATTCTATTATCGCTCAATAGGTTTGGGGGTCAACACTGTTACTTTTGAAAGTTCCAGTAAAACAGAAGTCAAAGCAATTCCTTTTGTATTGGGAGCTGTTTTACAGAAGGGAACAGAAAGGCGTTTGCATCTGATGCCGATTTCTTTACATACATTTGGCAGATAACAAAAGGTTCGCTAAAAGGAAAATGAACACAGGGACGCAAGGTTAAACCTATTTGAGCCCTCATAATAACTCTACCGAGACTTTGGAAAACATTAAAAACAGACTCTCTCTACTTTTAGGCGGAACTGGTTTATCTCACGCACGGTGAGGATGAGGAAGTGTTCAAAGAGGAACAAGAGATCAAATAAACGGGAAGCGTGGGATCCGGCTACGTGGAAGGTGAAGAGGCGACGTAGGAAGGGGGGGGGGGGGTTTGAATAATACGAAGCGAGTCACTGAGAAAGTTTTGATGTTTTGATGGGGGTCACGAGGCTCCTGCTCCAGGAGCAGCGCCAGGAATCAACAGCGGTCATAAAGGAATCACAAGAGGGGGGGGGGGGGGGGTCATTTGCATTTCGCATTCACAGCTTAAGTGGAAACGACTCATGACTTCTGTCTGGGCCGTCACTATTCATATCAGATATGCTTTCAATTTTTTATACAGCAATTATGGAGAACCGGACCTCCGTGGCTTTGTCTAATTTCCCAAGACTTTGCAGAGGGAAAATCATACGGTCCTTTCATGATATGAAAATGATGGAGCATTCGATTATTCTTTCATGACTTCAGGGAAATCCTCAAATGCCATGAAAATGCTGCTTCTCTCTTTCAGGGGTTCATAAAACTCTTTATTACAAAACTATTTGACGATGATGATGAAACTTATTCTATAACAGAAATTATTTTGTCTCGCATTTACATGAAAGACACATTTACCATCATGAGATAATATACAGGATTAGTGCATATGGATCAGAGTTAGCTTCATATCACGGTACTTTTGTGAATGGCAAGTGTCAAACACTGCAATGTAAATATCCACAACAAGTATTGATTCTGTTCTAAAACTCTAGCATTGTACTATTCTGGTAGTCTGGCAGATTACATCTTGTGTGTGTATTCAGCGCTGTGCATCAACACGGCACATTCTCTCAAAAGGCTAACAGGTGCATTCGAGGCCGGTGAGCCGTACCTGTTCCAGGAGCTTTCTGTATCTCTGTGTGGCTTGTTGGATGAGGTCCCTCACGGTCCAGCCTTGCTTGCAGGGCACCACCACACCGGTCTGCCCAAAAGTCACAGTGACCTTCATTGTAGCACTCTTCACTTAATCCCAGGTGAAGTCCCTCAGCTCCTCAGACGCAAGTGCCCCCCCACCCCGCACCAGAGAGGCTTGAGATGGGACCAAAGAGAAGACCAAAAAAAAAAAAATAGAAAATGGTAGAAATACAGGGCTGGTGCTGAGTGACTCGGGGTCACTTACATCACTCAGACCGACTTCTTCAAAAGTGACACAGATTGTCAAAGTGGTCCAGAGTCAATGGAGCCCTTTACTGTAACTGTCACTTTCCATTCCTTCCGACTTCACAGCCACAACTCAACGGGACAATGATGATACGTTCAGGTACATCCGGTTCCGTTGTTTCTTTCGTAAGTACCAGTGATATGGTCATGGGGGGGGTATCTTTGACTTCTCTCTTCAAATAGCCTAGGTAGAGACGTTGTAGTAGCTCTATTTATGAAGTTTAAAAAGAAAAACACTGCAGTCTTTTAACGATGGAGAGCATATGGGGAAGGGGGAATTGCGAGAGTAATGTCACTCTTATTAAAAACGCAGACTAACTCTCAACAAGTTTATTTGATGTTTGGCTAGCTCTCTCTCAGCTAGCATCACTTGGCTAAAAGGGACTAGCTTGATACGGTACCCTGGTCCGACCTAACGTTAGGTAGTAGAGAGCCAAGGATGGAAGCTTTCAGTCGGCCACACGGTTCAGATATCCTCACGCCCTCTCTTCCACCACACCAAGCGGCGTGTAACCACAAAACCCGGCTCAACGGGTGAATAAAAAGTGAATCCAGACGTTGACGTCGGAGTCAGCGAGCAGGGTCCTGCGCTAGCTAACGTTAGCCACCTTAGCTGAACTTTGGAGGGAGGGATGCAGTCGCTCGCGCATCATTTCATAAGTTTTTTCCTCCCGCAACTTGGCTTCTTCCGAGCGGCGGGTGGCGTCCGCTTCATCGCCGGCGGGCACACTTCGGCGACTTCGCTGTTACTTTCGCGTTCAGAGCAAAGGCGGAGGAGTAGATGGAAGAGTAAAGACACCGCGGCGGCGCAGTGTGTGTGTGTTGGGGGGGAAAAAAGAAAAGTTTTTGGGATTCCTTGAACGCCGTCCGCTCGCCGCTTGTTGCTGTCACTTTCTTAAAGGGGACGTGTTCCAATTACCGCTGCGAGGAAAGCGCAGTTTAATGCGGGACGTCGTCCCTAATAGTACAATCATGATTGTACTCCTCCACCCGCGTTATTCCTCCGGTTGGGTATTCTAAAAGGAAAGTAAACTAATTGTCTTTGTGGTTATCACTAATGGGAACTCCTCTTTAATTATATCCAATGTTATCCATCGTTTATGAAACATATTGATTAGTGTGGAGCTCTAAAGTATCAATTTAATTCTTAACAGAATGAAACGTTACCAATTCTTATAATGGTGGCAAATAGAGATATTTTAATGTCAGTATGAAAATCACTGGTGTAAAATAAAAAAATAAAAATGTTACCTATACTTTTGCTCTAGAGATCTGAAACGCTTCTGTTTTGCTACTGTCGTATAATATGCTTTGTTCTTGTTTGTTTTTTTAATTATTAAATACTGGAGTTATTGGACAATAATGGACAAGAGACATCCAACTGAATTTATATTCATAGATAGATATTGTAGATATTATTACAAGTAACAGATTGTGTTTTACCAAAGTAAAACCTAGTGTTGGCAGGCATTCAGTGACAGTCACAACTATTTTTAGGGCATCACGGCTATCCTCTTAAGGGATCCCTATTAGACAGTCAAATGTGTGTCTTACGAACCTTGAAATGTTATCAAACCCCTTGAAGATCTTCTACTGACACCGGGGCAGCATTAAAATGTGCCAGCAAACAAAAATACCGTATTTACAAAACAATTTGGCTTCTCGCAGATGGATTCATCTTCAAAGAGGAAAACCCCTCCCCGTGAGGCGGAGTTTGGCTTTGTAATTAGCAGCTTGAATATATGCATGTGTATGTCTGCTAATTGATTTTGGCTAGGTTTAGTTTCTAGGTCACTGAATTCCATTGCTTCTAATGAACCCCGTGGGACGACGAACACTGGGAAAGCATCTTTTTCCTCCTTCTTTCTTTGGTCAAAGTTTGAAAGTTTGAACTACACTTGAGTAATCATTTAGGATGTACATTTTGAAGTGAGGCCATCCCCCTTTTGTGCAATCTTCAATTCTATAAATAACATGAATATAATATTGATGAAAATGTTAATAGCATTCTCAGCCATATACAATAAAAAGAACTCCTTTTAGAGATTAACTGGGATTAGGAGCTGTTTTTTTGTCACCCTGTGACCATCAACCACTCGGCCTTTTTCGTAGAAGACATTTCGTCATCATTACGGTTACTTCAGTTACCTCTTTCCTATTCTAATTGTTTTTTTGTCAGATGAAAAGAGCAAAGGCGAGTCTGCCACGTTAAATAATGAAGTACCTGGTTTGTGTGTCCCCTTTTATGACACATCACATTTTACCCCCCAGAACCATCACAACTGCAGTCTATTTGATTCTCTTTTGTTAAAGGTTGGTCAGGTTTGACAGATTATTGACTCGGTTCAGTTTAACAAAAGACGGTGGTTCGGGCCGAGATTATGAGATAAGGTGGCCGCTGTTGTCATGGTTACAATAATAGGAGGAAGATGAGTGTTTACCCTGCACACATAAAGTATCCCAATGGCTCCATTATGCAATGCACTTCCATCAGAAAGGAACCAATTGGCTGGTACCTTCCTTTTTTACTGTAGCAGCACACACACAACTACTTCTCGTCATTCATTCACTGACAGGAACGATGCAGCTCATAGTGAATACAAAACAATATGACTGTTGGAACACTAGAGAAGAGCAAATCTGACAGATATCAACGTGTAACTTACATTTAAAAATGTATATACCACATGGACATTCGGACAGCTTGGTATAGGCGACTGTTAATCCCATTCCCTCTCTGCAGCACTCTGCGGGAAGCCTCCTCCATTATGAACTGACATGAGCCTCAGCGGCCACGCTAGGACGGGAATGCTCCCCTGCTGTTGGGCCAGATGCATCCAGACCCTGGCAAACAAATCAACACGGGTGCTACAACATGTTCTGCGTTCCAAAAAAAAGAAAAGGGAAATTACAGTGCGCAGTTGGAGAGAATAGATGCTTGGATGCAGGGCGGAATCACTTGCATACAGGGTGCACGCGCAGTGCATGTGTACTGTACATGAACGACTCTCTTTTTTCGCACTTTTTTTCGATCATACAATATGCATCCACCTTATTGAAATAACATTAAATAAAGATATTTTCCCAGTGCGACATCCTTCTTTTTTTTCAAATCACCCAAGTAGCGCCGGGTGGGGGGGAGGCTGGGAGGGAATACAATGGGCATAAGACAACAGGGTACAGCTTCAATTCCAGGCTAACCATTTGGCTTAATGTGGATGTAACACGCCCTGTTGCTTTGTATTGGACCATGTCTTCCTTGCATGGCTGTTGCCTTTAAGTTATATCGTGCAGAATCACGTGTAAGACGAAAATCGGGACCCCTGGTGACCGATTGAAGACACACAGGCAGGGCTTTGGTTGGAAAAGCTGTGGTTCTTGGTAAAATACCATGTTTTACATAATATGAGTATCAACAGTAGAGTGTATTGAAAGGATACGTGCAGCACTGTTCACACTAAATGCCCGCTGAATAAGCTGCTGCCCTGCACGAGTCGTTTTTGCTCCAACTCGACGCTGCTGCAACTAACGGGGGCCCGAGATTAATGCGAATTTGAAGTTGCAATCGAGAACTTCATCCTTTAGCCGTTAGTCACTGCTCCTGAAGCCTTTTCTGAATCAGTGAAAAGCCACAGCGGTGTCCCCCATGCCTGCAGCATATGGACATTGTATTCAGCCCGTCTTTTACACGGATCTTCCATCTACCCCACCCGCCTTCTCAATGTAAGCACATTACCCACAGTATGTCTTTACGGCCCCAAAATCCATTATGGTAACGCATTGAATAAAGGCTGCCAAAAAAATATGTTATTGTAAATTATATTTCTGTGCTCCAAAGGCTCTACGTCAAATGGTTCCGTGCTGATGTCCCTGTCTTCGATAATTCGTCTTCATTTGACTGCTTTTATTTTGTGCAATACACTCATTTGTTGTCTTCGTCTTGTTTTTGTCTGCTCACATTAATTCGCCTGCCCTGTGATGCATTTTAAATCTCCAAATCTCATCAATAAATTAAACCAACAAACTAGATCCAGCTCAGACAGAACGCCGTGCCCCGGTGATCAACATGTTATATGTTATTGAAAGCTTTTTCCAACAGCCTGCAGACTGGTCTTGTGTGGTAGTGTGTGTGCATGTGTGTGTGTGGGTCGGGCCATGTGTCAACCACTGATACAGACGGATCAATAGCAGGACTTGTCGGCGGGGAGATTTCGATCAGTCCACACTCCTAAATCCTCAGCGCCCCCGTACACACACATACAGTACGCACACAAATGGACATACACTGTATCCCACTGCAGTGTGAAAAGAATAGCAGGATGTCAATAGACCCTTCCACTGCACGCTGAAACAGAGACACACAAACACACACACACACTGGTAATAATAGCCCCGTCGATCATCTCTTGTCCATGCACAGATCTTCAATGTGTCACAGGCGTATACGAGGCTTGCCTCTGCGCAGGGCGCAGGGAAAAAGAACATTTATAGCACCACCGGCAATCCTGGACTTACCATGGATGGATGAATGAACGGATATGTTGGGAAAAAACAATCAATCATTGCTCAAGAGCAAAGTAAACTGATTTGCATAATGTGGTTATTTTCCACAGAGCAGTGCAGTTTTGTTCCTGAAAAATTGGACAGTGAGAAATCAAGAGTGTTGGACAACGTTTTTTAAGAGTTTATTTACTATAATAATGCAGAAAAAGCTGTGATTGCCTTTTTGTTTCGGGATCCATTGGTCATTCTAACTCCTGTCCCACAACGACACAAAGGCCTGCAGCACTCTATTTTGGCTTTAGTAAAAAAAAACATTTAAGAGGTGCGGTCAGCTCTGGAAAACACATCAAAACGTTCGACTGACTGATGAGACGAGGCGGTTTCCTGCGGCAGCAGCATTTTGTGATTCACCAGACCGACGGCTCTAAACTTAGTTCGATTGTAGTGACGGAGAGAAACATCCAGGCATTTAAGAAGAGTGCAAAACAACAAGAAAATGGCAAACATGTCAACAACATGGAGGAGTCAAAATGATGGCAGAGAAATAGAGAGAGAAAAACCATGTGTTCATGTGACACAGATAATTTGAGAGGATAAAACTCATTATGTTAGAAAGGAGCACCGGGGATGATTGAAAAACCATGAAAACAAACCCTTTTGCCTACAAACGTCAACGAGTAACTATTTCTCTACACTTGTTGTTGTCCCTTTTCCAAAATGCGGCGTCAAACTACTTTATGTCACACTTATCGGTTTGATGGTCCGCAGGTGTTGATTAGAGGATATAGGCAGAATATAGGAATATAGGAAGTATGACAAAACACGCGTGCATGTGCCTTCACACCAACACCGCAAACTGGACCACAACACACCTTGAATCTCCCTTTCTCTATTTCACATGCACACACACACACACACACACCTCTTGCTAATAGCTCAATTAACACACTGTCATGTTAGAAAAAATTTGAGCCCTATAAATCCACCTGTCTCCTGAGGAAGATTGCAAAGAGAGAGGAAGTAATTGATACTATATTCCAGGAAAGCTACTTTGAAAACTAATTATGTGTGTATAACAAGCAGAGAATTATTCCGACAGCTCCTGAAACCTATTAGTTGTGGGGAACGGGAGCTGTGTGTTTGTGTGTGGGTGTGTGTGTGTGTGTGTGTTTTGTGTGACGTGCTGCGATCCCTCCATTCGCCGCCGATGTCGTTGCAATACATTCAAGCCAGTCTTTGACTCGACAGTGGACATACATGCTTAAATAAATCATTTTGATTTGAATTTTATGGAATTTACTTCTGCAATATCCATTTATTAAGACCAAAAGATGGCTTCATGGTGCACTATCTAGGACGTGCACAGGATCACACACTTTT